CAAACGTCACATCTAGAAGCATGGAAAGATCCCAAAGACGAAAGCGGACTCTCAGCGGTCTTGCGAGCTGTCCATGGCGGCCTATATCCACAGTCTGATATTGTAGTTGCCGATGATCCCTTCGCTGAAATTGCCGCACGGTCTTGGATTGATCAAGAGTTTGCGTTGGATCGACGCGAACTACTCAGCGGTATCCCCTATTGCGACTGGCTGAAGAAATCTCGCGGGCGCGGAACCTTTGGTACCGAATATCGGAAGAGAATGGTCGAGTCCGTGAAGAAGCTTAATGCAAGTTTCAAAGCAAATACATACGGAGGAGACTTTCCCGACATGGTCTCAAGTCCCGTACGCCCCGATATTCCCGAAGGTCCACGCGTCACAAATGAAAGCATCGACCAATGGTTGGCAGCGATGAAGGATTCAAGACATACCATGGACACCCAAAGCGCCTATCCAAATTCTAGCATTGGGGAAGAAGGGAACATGAGGGACGACCGCAACGAGGGAGATGACTGGAGTACGAGGGACGACCGGAGTATAAGAGACGGGCAAGACGAGCAGAATGGGTTCGCGATTCAGATTGAAGGCAAAGCAGGCCTTGTATTCAATTTCCCCGGTGATGCAAACCGCGCATTGTCCAAGCTGCGCGAGCAAGGAGTCTCTGGCAGCGCCGACGCCACCACCGCCCAAGACACCTTCACTACCATCACGATAGGTTCCGCTAAATTCAGATTCATCAGCAGGAGCACATCCATCCAACCAATCTTCACGAGAGCAGAGAAAGCAGCATACGAAGGCAACGTTATGCTTCTCAAGAAAATCATCGCCGAAGCTAGGGATATTGAGAGAATGCCCGAGCGTCTGGCGACCGAGCTGGGACTCGCATGCGAGCAGGGCCATCTCGAGGTGATCGAACTGCTTCTGAGTTACATGCCGGACATCAATGTAGAAGGCCGCGATGGCCTTCCTCTGGCCTTGGCTTGCTCCGCAGGACGCGAAAATGCTGTCCGAAAGCTCCTGGATCGTGGTGGCGATGTCAACTTTGCCGTACGACTTTGTGAAGCACCTCTTAGTGCGGCTTGTAGAAGTGGCAACAAAGATATTGTCGAGCTTCTACTCAGGAAAGGTGCCGATCCAACGATTCAGACATTGTTCAACCCGATGGCTCAAGCGGCGAGCAACGGCCATACGCATATCGTCAAGATATTGCTTTCTCACGAAAAACGACGTTCAAAGTCACGTTCTGTGGCAGAGTTCGCCAAGAATGCACTCCATGATGCGTGTTTTTACGGCGAAAGTGGCATTGTCAAGCTGCTTCTTCAAGAAGGTGCAGACATCAACCTCCAAGGTGGTCACGAGGGTAGCCCCCTCCATGCGGCATGTTCCCAGGGTCACATGAAAACCGTCTGCGTTTTACTCGAGAATAAGGCCAATATTGATCTGGAGAGAAACGGTGAGACTGCATTAGGGGTAGCATGTGCTCGGGGTCATTACGCAGTTGCAGAGCTGTTGCTGGCGAGGGGTGCAAGCATTAAAGCCCCAATCAGAAGGTCAGGCATGGTTTACGAACGTCCACTGGAACGAGCATACAAAGCTGGTAACACAAGCATTGTGAAGCTACTGCTAGCGAGAGGGGCCCTGATAGATTTCACCGTGGACACAGAGACAAGGAATACGGAAGTGGCCTTGCTACTGTTACCGACGTGGCGTCCGGCTCAGCCCAGACTTGTTGATTCAAGCCTCTTCGCGTTTCGTCGAAAGCCATTCGAGGTCGGAGTTCCTAAGAAGAAGCCCGTGGCACCGCACCGCGCCGTCAAAAAGCTGCCCGACTGTGGCTGTCTGATATGCTGGATGGATGCTTATGTTGATCCAAGGCAATTTCCTAGGACCCGCCCGATCGATGCAGTTTCTAGACGTGTATTACCGCATCCAACTTTTGACAGGGGAGTAACTCGGACTACTCCTATGACGAGGATAATACCAACTGGTAAGTGTGATATCCCCATATCGGGCCTGCGAACACTTCAAAAGCCATGCACCAAGAAGCTGGCCTTAGAAGTCATCTTATTGCAACAGGCAAGCTATCAGCTATAAGCTGATGCATAATGGCAGGCCAGGAAGTGAGAGGTCCCCCGCGCTTAGCATATCGAAAAGTAGCTGCGGATCCAGCGTCAGAACAAAGACTATCAGAAATGCTATCGGCATCAGGGCCCAGAATTGGGGCACATGAAATTCCCGGACCAAGCCAGGCAAGAACCACGATTCAACAAGGAACGTCAAATGACGTCGTGAGTACTATAAACGAACGAACAACTGCAGAGCACTATTCGACTCATGATCAGAGGCTGCCATTCTATCAAAGTTCAGATAGGAAAACTTTGTCAGGTCCCAGCACTATCCAGGTTCCAAATCGGCCTTTGCATTCGACCCATTCCTCCAACGCAAACAAACCGCTGACTATGAGCGAACAACAATCATCCACAAGCCAACGACATAGAGGGCTAGAGCAGGAATCAGTCAAACAACAGCCATCAAAGCGGATAGGGGGTTTACAAAAGCTATTTGGAAAGAAGGATAAAGACAGATAAGCTCTGGGAATGGTTGAGAAGTCGTTATTCCAACAACATAGCCTCATGTTGAAGTGTTGCCCCCCAAATCCATTTTCCAGTGATTAGTCCTCTATAGATTATTGATAGTACCCCCAAAATGCAATAGAACCTGGCCGCGCAAATACCTAGCAAATACGGCTTACCTAAAGAATAGCTGCGACGAGACTACGCGCTTCAAGGATGGGTTGATTGGGCACACTCGACATTCTTTAGCGTCGGATCTTCTGAATCATCACACTCTACATGTAACGGCCCCAAAATTAGAGACACAAAGGCTTCATCGGCCACGTTCTCGACAACGAGGTTCAAAGCCGCGGTCGGCACGGCCGTGGATCTATGTTGATCGCCTTCCTCAGCTGAGCATTAGGTTTACTTGAAATGATCTGGTATCTTGACGAGACTTTTCGTAATTTTGACAGAAGTCTGGAAGGCGGCGTGACTCCCCAACGAGCCAAACAAGGGCCGTAGAGATGGCTGATGAAAATGAAGGAGTCTGCCCACGGCTCGACCTTGGGAGATAGTTAGATCTATCGGCATGTAAGCCTTTTCCGCTCTCTACTAGCTCTTTTTCATTATTCTTATTATTCTTATTATTCTTATTATTCTTATTATTCTTATTATTCTTATTATTCTTATTATTCTTATTATTCTTATTATTCTTATTATTCTTATTATTCTTATTATTCTTATTATTCTTATTATTCTTATTATTCTTATTATTCTTATTATTCTTATTATTCTTGAATTATATTCTGTGTGGAACTCCTTAGAGCAAAGCAATGGTAAGGCAGGTAGATTGAATATTAGTTGTTAGCCAGTATCCTATTCTATTAACCACCCGGGAAGTTTGCTAGAGAAGTGGTATGCGGCAGCCGTCTCCGGCTTCGCTACCCTTTTGGCCTCTTCGATGACCGTGATAGTCGACACGCAGCCGCTATCCCGAAAGGTCTTATGGATTGTATATGTATCGACGGCCCTCTCGATGCGACGATTCCCTCCCGAGATGGTCACAACATGCTCTCAAGGCTTAAACTGTTTACCCTTCCCCTTCTTCTGCATCGGTACATCGATAACAATGTCGCCCGCAATCATAACACCAAACATCATTATCCTCGCTATACGTTCAATCAATAGGTGCGATGTAGCGAAAACCTGCGATAGATGGCTGTTGTCAGACTTCTATGCTTTAATTACCTCTTCAAGGGACTCGGCCAGTCTCAAACTTGGATCAACCAAACTGTAGGTCGATACTACTCATGAAGACCTCATTCCCATATATCTAAAATCTTCTTTTAGCACATTTGCTGACTAGATGGATTCAGGATCTCAAACATCTGCTACAACAAGGCGAGCAATTACTCAGGGACGCAATTGCGACGCGGAAAGAGCCCCGGTCTTCTCACCATGCTCAAGCAAGAAATGCACGGCCATGATCCCAGCGACCGCTGTTACGGGCATAGCGACGTTATTGATTTCATTGACTATCGATGGGAGCTAGCACAGTTGACCGATTTGATCCTGGCCAGGTTCAGGCTAGCCTTGGGGTCAGCCTTGTCTTTTATGGACGCGTGACAGCTGGCAAACATTTGCAAGTAAGAGAGACAAGGGGTATTACGAGCGGTACTACAACGCGTTCCGACTTCTTGTGGACATGAAGTTCCTACCCGAGCCCACCGAAAGCCAGGGACCCTCTGTTGCCCGTTTCATTCACTACTTGGCCGCAGCCATTGCATGGACACCGAATCTCTCTAACTGTTGGTATCCCTATTACAGGGTAATTAGTTCGAACCGTGGGTTGACGAAGAGATCAATTGAACTATATGAATTTCTGCGTAGGTGTAAAACGGAGGTTCCAACCGTAGGTTGGGCAGGCCGCGATAATCGGAAGTAGGGGCCGTAATTGGCCCCTGCGCGGTCGGCCGTACGCCGAGGTCGAATTGGACTTCCAATCCGACACTAACGCACAAAGAGACGAAGTTGTTAAACGTTTGGTAGACGAGATGCAGAGGTACAAGGGTTTCTACCGGAATGTATGCCTCAATGACAAGGGGATCATCAGCAGGAGAAAAGAGTGGCTGGACAAGATTGGCCGATAGGTTCGTTGGTATATAGCCATATCCGGGGGGATAACCCCTTCATTGGGGCCGTTTTAATCTTAGTTCAGAAATATTCAAACGAGTTGTAACTAACAAAAGAGTGCCTTTGAGACGTTTAACATAGCTTGATTTCTGCAAAGCAAGTTTAGTCGGGCTCGTTCAAATAATTCCCGAGGTCAGGCAAGCGAGCCACCAACAGGTTTCCATGAAAGCTTGATTTTATGGTTCGAAACTTGGGATGTAGATTCAACCAACAAAAGAATTATTTGCAGAAATTATCTGTGCTACGGCCATTATGGTATCGACTGGAGTCCAATTGTGGAAGGTATCACAGGCTCAACCGACTGTCAGAGAAAGTCTGAGAAGCCCGTTGGAGACATTTGTGAGAGTTCAAGCTCTGTTTGGCAGTACGTACCTACCTAGCTTGGTCCCTTGAATGTTATCTTTGTCATTATCCATTGTCTATTGCAAGTGATCAACTGACTGATTGTTCTAGTTTCTTTGGCTATCGCAACACTTATCATGCGGCCCGATGAGATCGACCCATTGAACGGATATGCCCTAATCTTGACAGCTATCATGGGTTTCCTCCCACCAGTGTTCACCCTTATGTTGCTTCATAGCCACGGAGTACGATCGCGTTTCTCGACCGCATTGGTATGTGCAAGCTATTTGCTCAACACCGTGACCTTTTTCGTACTCGTTCGGAACCTCTCGATTTCTACACATGACAGGCTCTTTTTGGATAAAGCCATAGACAGCCTCTTCAGTGCCGAAGCATGTGGCGGTGGCTCGGCTATATCACTTTGCTACCAGCTGACTGGTACGGACCCCGTCGGTTTCCTCTCCGGCTTTTACGACAACAGTTCGTTCGCAAATATCAAGACTGTACCACTCCTATGGATATGGACAACGCTGGTGCTACTCGTGTTGATCACCAGACACCTTGTGGCTACCACACAAAAGAGAAGCGACGCAGTGGGTCAGTTACCGCCTGCCAAGCCCCAAGGTCTTCATCGGAGCAAGCGACCTTCCGGATTTCATGCATTCTTGAGTAAACCGCTGTTCACATGTTTTATACTATCTTTGGCGATAATTCTATTCTTCTTATGCCTTCTGTATCAATACCTGTTGGTAAAAGCTAATGCTCTGATGGATGTGATTGATCAGAAAGGTTGGTCCTTTGGACAAGCCGTAGCCTTGTTGTTCTGGGTGCCACCATTCCTTGATATTCTCCGGTCAATGTATGAGAAGGAAAAGTATGAAAAGGTTCAGAATGCGCATGAAAGCCAGAGCTAGTGGAAAGATCAGGTCAAAGCACTCTTCAATTTAGTACGCTGAGATTCTATTTGCATTTATAAGAGTGATGGAGCTTGTAGCTCAAATTCAATCAAATTTTGTGGACAACCTTTGCGTACAAGTTTAATCGTGGAAAAATTTTCACCTTCAAAAGACAACAACTGCTCAAATATCATCAGTCGTCTAGTCCAACTCCTTGCCAATCTTGTCAAACTCCCGACGCCACTCAGCGACCTTCTCGACCTTCTTGTAGGGGTCAAGGTTCATGGCCTCGCTGTCCACGTACACGCTCTCCCCAAGAGTGAGTTCGCCTCGCCCAACGAAATTGCCCAGTTCAAAGCTCGCATACTTGGAGCTGGCATTAGAACGGCCACCGTCTTCCCAAACTCCAACCTTGAAGGTCGCACCCGGCCGGAAGAAAAAGTTGGACCCTTTGGCGGCGCCACTCCGCGTTCCACTGTTGACAATCTTTGCCGAAGTGTGAGGCTTGTTGGACTCATCCTCTTTGTGAATCTGGGAAGCGTTGTTTCCGTTGCCGCCACTTGGTTTGCTGTTGCTCGAGGTTACCTTCCCGCCGCTGTTGTTGCTGCCGTTCCCGTTGCCACGATCGCGGCAGTCGGCATCCTTCGCGGAACCGTACCCTTGAGATCCGTAGCCCTGAGAGCCATAGCCCTGTGAGCCATAGCCTTGGGAACCATACCCTTTGGGCTGGGAACTGTTGTCCTTGGTTGACACTGAGAAAGACATCCCAGGAACACCAATCTTGAAGCCTTCTTTGGAAGAAGTGGTCTTATCGTTCTGAGGCTCGGGGTTCCTTTCACCTTCTTTGGTAGTGTTCCCACGATAGAAACCGTCTTGGGGAATGATGGCAGCATTCTTGCTACCAATTTCAATGTTCGACGGGAATGGCTGCATGCGCGCCTCGCGAACATCCTCAATGAGAAGGACCAAATGTTTCTTCCAGATCGAGTCGTCCACCTTCTTGTAGAAGTTGAGCTTGCAGCGGCCCGCGGAAAGTTGCGTGTTCGGCACACGAGTAATGACGTGATCAATGTTGGCTTCGTTTGCTGTATGAACTTGGTAAGCCGAATGTCAGAGGTAAGACTAGCAGCATGAATGCACTTACGAGTTCCGTAGAGGTAGAATGGCATGAAAGTATCCGGGTACTTATCGAGGCGATACTTAGAGTTCAATGGGCGGCTAACAACGGTCTTCCCCAACTGAACACAAACGTCTTGGAGGATGATGCCGCTAAAATCGTTAGTGGGATCCATTCCTAACACATAACGGGCCACGAGTTGACATGCTACTTACGACTCTTTTGTCATAATCTGACCATCGAAGTGGCCCTTCTGCTCAATGACATCCTTGGCCATGACCTTGCGCTGAGTCACGAGCAGCATCGGCTCGGTAGGGTTCGACTTCTTCAAAGCAATATACTTGGCCTTCGACTTCTCGTCAAAGCTCACGTTGACTATGAGTTGTTGTCGATGGTTCGCCACATGGAACATAGGCAGGTGGATCAGGAAGATCTCCTCTGTGCCCTGAATGAGGAAGCTGTGGAGATCCGGCGCCGGTGTGTTGCGCTTGCGGACGATCTGCAGATGCAGGTCAGCTACTGACACAAAATGATAGACTTTCAAGAACAAACCTCAGTCTCCTTCGCGACGACATCATAGAAGATGTCGGCGAGTTGATTTGTGAAGTTGCCGTCAGTAGGGAATGGGGACATGACGACGTTTCGCAACACCATCAAGTCTTGTGAACTCTGCTCTAGGCCGAGCCGCTTGACATAGTTTGCCTTACACTCTCCGTACAGTTCGTCTGAGAATTCGGTGGAAGTCAAGAAGAGAGGAATTTTGGTAGGATCGTCGTCTGGGCTGTCAACAGAAAGGGCCTCAATGACTCTCTGCATGAGGTAGTTGGCCTCTTCGATATCATCGTTCAAGCGTCCGTCTTCGTAGCGGAAGTTCAGCGCGAAGGCGTTGATGTTGAGGTCTGAACCCAGACTTCTCAGGAGTTTCATGACCTTTTCGTCGTCCGGTCTGGCTTCGTCTTCGGCAATAATGGAAGCGTTCGTCTTTTTGACAATCTCATCCCTGATACGCTTCTTCTCGGCCTCGATCTTCTCCTCGGTTGCATTCGGCTCAAGCTCAGATGGGAGCATGTTGAAAGGCACACAGACGAAAGGACTTTCAGAGTCTGTCAACGCTGCCCACTCTGCTGACAGCTTCATCGAGTGTGTTAGCATGGAACATGAAAAGACAGCACAACCAATCCTGAGAATGATGGAGAAAGTGACTGAGACATACCCTGCTGCAAGTCCAAGTAACCTCTCCAAGTAAGGCACCATAGCCTTCGGCATCAAGACCAATTGTCCTATTTGACAACCACGTCGAAACTGCAGAGGCACCGGGTTTACTGCAGTGAATATGCATAGTTAGTTTCTTCTCCATTACTGATAGATCTCTTCCAATAGGTAGACTGACCTTCCTTCGACACCGTAGATGCCAATGCTGGTGACCGAGCCTCGCGATAAGTAAGGACTCGTCCAGGTGACCAAGAACCGCATACGATTGTCACGGTAGCAAAGGCCACCAGCGGGATAAGGGATGTAGCCTGCTTTGTGGGGGTCAACAGTAATGGAGTCGGCAAAGCGCATGGCGAACAAATCATCCTGAGTCTGGGCACGAAGTGTCGCATCCGGCACAAAGCCATCGGCCGCACCCATGTCAGTGGGAAGATTCATGACATCTCCTGGCCGATAGTCCTTTGGCAACATGGAGCAGAAATATCCACCTGAAATGAAGTTAGCGCATTCAGTTGCAAACGGAGTCGATTCTCAAAGGCTCGGAACACTTACCCCAGGCAGCGTCGGCATGAACAACGAAAGATAATCCTTTCGCTTGGAATTGCTTGCGCAGGGCTAGAACACCGCTGAGAGAGTCCACGGCACCCTCTTTGAAAGTAAGGTCAGATTTTTATCAACTCAGTGCGTTCCGTTGTCTCTCTCTCTTACCTTCCGTGGAACCTATGATAGCAACCACCGCATAAACGGGCTGTCCTTTGTCAAGATTCTCCTGCAATTTCTTCTCCAACGCGCCCAAATCCAGGCGAGCTCCTGCATCAACTGGAATGCCGATGACATTATCGGAGCCCAAGCCGCTAATTGCTATATTGTTTGAATGCGATCAGTCTCAAATCATTACATTGAAAGAAAGGCAACTACTTACCAGCACCCTTGGGCCAAGAGTAGTGCCTGGTATTCGACAACATGTATTGGCCTGGTAGTTCAAGCCCGAACTCTCGCTCCAACTCATCCTTTCCAGTGGACTGGATGGTGAACTTCTTCATTATATCTGAAAGGAATGCATTGGACACCCCGTGCTCCTGATATAGTCGATCAGGTAGATCAAGAATATCGGATGGCTTCAAGTTGAGCAGATCCCAGGTCGATAGATCAGTGAACAACTTTGTTTCACCCTTGCAAGTCTCAACTTTGAAAGCCTCCGACAGGAAGTTGAGTGCCTCACCATTCCCAAAGGCCTTGCGAAGCGATAGGGGATAGAACTTCAGGTTTCGAGCTGGGAAGGTATGAGTAACCGATATTGTAAGGCGATAGTTGATACATACCGACCCTAGAAATCAGTTGTTAGCGTCTGACAGTGTTGCAGAGACTAAAGGATCTTACCACATGGATTCCAGATTGGCAACGGTGCCGTCACAAGTCACATGGCCCCAGGAAGTAGGCGCTTCAGTGTTGTCCTCCTTAATGTTGTAACCAAAGAGATCGCACAGCTGCTCGCCCACTTCGATCTCTGCCAAGGTCGACAGTGGACTTGCTTCGAACGCGACGTTGTTTGGATTGTAGAGCATCGTCATGAAGTATCCCAGCATTGAAGGCATGGTAAGGTCAGTGCACCTAACTCAATCAGTTCAAGAATGGCGCACTAAGAAGAGGCTAAGCGAAAAGCACTGACATATGAGCTTCATAACGAGGGGACCAGAATGGTATGCTTGACTTGCCCAGGATGTTGGAGGCCTTTCGAACGGCATTCTGGAGTTTGTCCATGGAATTGCGGAAAGCAGGCGTGTTCTGTGTCTTCTCATCGATGAAATTCTGCTTTCATGTTAGCATCATGACCGTTTTGTACTTATCAAGCAGTTGAGTATCTTGGTAACGTACTCCATCTTCAGGGTAGTAACTCTTTCGCGCACTCTCAAGTTCATCTAAAATGATGTTGATGTTCTTCTTGAAGTATGGAAGGTTCTCGGCTTGTGGCCCAATGAAGTACGACGAGATGATCTGATGAGACTCATCCTCGTAGGTGGCCGTGGTATTGTACGCCGTGTTCTTGGAAGTCATGATGGAAGAAGAAGTAAGGTGGTGTTCGATGAGTTTTAGCGGTAAGCTGGGCGCCGTTGTTCACAACTGAAAGCGAAAGCAGAAGCCTTATAAATACATGTACAACTCGGTCTAATAATTCTCCAGTTGCCGCCTTCTGAATCTCGTTGAAACTTCTTTCGACCCTTTTGTGGTTGTACCAATGGGTAGATGGCACTGCATTTCGCAGTTTCGTGATGACGAAACGATATTATGCAGGCTGGCGATCAACGACCGCTTCCGCCTTCTAGGACCTTCATGTATTCACCCATAGCCATGCAAGGTCTTCATCAAATGACTTGACCGGTCAGGCCTTGCATCTCGTATGATGCCACTTTCAATGACCCCTCACGGGAATGCCTTCCACATACTCACCGGTGTTATCTTAGCGAGGTTCCGATCAACTGGAAATTGCCTTTCCGTGAACAAAGCCAACGAAAGACTGTCTGAAATATCGAAGATGTTCGATTCTCATGCATACCGTGCTGCCGTAGAAGGTTAGATTCAGGCGGGTTTTGCTTGAACTCGCAGCGGGAGCATGCGTGTCTCACATAGCCGCCGCCTATCATGGAAGAGACAGGCGACGACGGCAACCCGCTGTATGAGTGAATGATTGCACGACACTGACATGAGCCACTGTATCACTGCCATATTTCTGTGATGAGGAGAATGGTAAGAGATTGTCAATTTATTTTACTTAGACTGAAAAGGGTGGACAGACACCCAATATGGAATACCATTAGCCAAACCTTTATTTTGAGCTCAAAACAGACCAATAAACACGACGAATGAGGAAGCTCTAATATCTCTGGAATGGCCGGCACACTAGACCTGACGAGGGGCGAAAAACGAAGAGACTTTGTTGACTGTACTACTCAGAAGTTAACAAATTCGCAGGGAGTGGTGATAGGTCTGGTCCGATCGGGTATGATCCGGAACTATCACCGTCGGCCCGGGGAGATCGCTCCTAGAGTAGCACTGGGCACACAAACTGCTCGGCTACACCCGCGCACATTAGACCAGATCGAGGTGGTTGCAGCAGAGGAGGGGTTTCAGGCTTGGCAGTCCACCTGTCGACTTTCATCGAGCTTGAGCCTCTCGAATGGAGTTGTACGATTCTGAGACAGCGTAACAGGCCCAGTAGGTATTCCGACGGAAACCGACTGAGCTGCACAAGTGAGGGGTTTGTGATTCACCGGTCGTTTTGCCAATCATGCATCTCATGTATGCACGACTCGTGACGTGGATATCGACCATTGTGCGGGGCAACAATACCAATTAGGTGTCGTGATGATCTCATTCCAGCAGCTTGAACTCCGAATGCTTGCTCGCTTACACGGCTTCTTTGGTACCTGAACGCACATCAGACTGGTTCAGAAAGCGGACATCGGAATGGTACTTATGTGAAAAGTAAACCAGACTATGATTTTGGCTCTATCTATAGGACAGAAGCTATGTACGAAATATCTCTTCGACTCGCTGGCTCAGGTGTAGATTGCAGTTGCGAACTCTAGCCCTTCGAAGGGCACATTCAATTTCGATCAAAGTATTCTTAGTTTGCAGACAGGAAGGCTTTCCACGCATCGATGACTGAACGGTTGGGCGCGGCTATTTCGATGACTTCTTTGCTTGTGGTCGACGCCGGGCATTTGCCTTCCCACAGAGTAACTGGAGCAGCTTTGATCGAGGAGATCACGTTCTTGGACTCTTTTGTTGCTAATACCATAGCGTCCACAAGAGACACATCCCTGTACTCGACGTTGTCCACGGGCTCACCAATTGCCTCCTCCACCCACTGAACAATGTCTCGACCAGTCACATCCGTAGGCCCATTCAGAACATACTTTGCTCCATTATGCCGAGAAGGATCTTGTTTCCACAGCAAATGAGCAGCAAAAGTACCAATGTCGTCAGGGTCTATTGCGCCTACGGGTGCGTCCTTGTCGGCGATGAGCTTCAGGATTCCCTGCTTCTTCGTTTGACGGTATTCTTTGACAAACTCAACCGCACTGTATAGGTGTGCCGCGAAGAAAATGTTTGGCTGTAGGGACGTCCACTTGAGTTCTCTGAATTCTGGCGAACTCAACATGGTCTCAATAGCCCAATGAGTCCGCGGGTAGTAAGCCTCGAAGTCTGGACGAACGTTGGCAGCCGTTGTGGAGATGCGCACAACGTACTGTACGCCGGCCTTTAGTGCGGCGTGGTGGAAGGTCGATTCCTCGGCGAATTGGCTCGGACCGTTGTGTGATGCGATGAAAGCCTTGATGACCTTCTGTTCGCGCAGCCAAGAGGCATTGATATCGACCCAGTTCTTCTCGATCATTGTAACACTAGGGAGACTTGCGAGATGCTGAGCGGCTGACGAATTGATGGAACGTGTAAGAGCAAGGATGCGAGTATCAGGCGAAACATCGCTATTACTCAGAAAACGGGAGAGAGTCTCAACGACACTTCGGCCAGTGTTGCCCGTCGCGCCGGCAATGAGGATTGTAGGAGTCATGATGGTTGTGGATAAAACCTCGAAATATTGCAATTCTCGAAGTTTGCTAGAAAAGAATTTGAGACGAGCTCCTTGACTTGTCCTTTGAATCGATAATTGTAGTTTGTAACGTCACGACACCTGTTAATCATTATACGGCCTTTATATCTAAATTATTGTGAAAAATCCTTGCGGAGATCTGCGCCGCTGCGGAGTTTGCGGACAACCCACCGGGACGTACACAAATCGCCCTTTGTAGAAACCAGACTTTGTCACTAGTCCGCAATCAATTAGTAAGCTCTGCAACGTTATGTCGGCGTCGTGATGGCATCTTTCACCCCAGGCCACGCCTTTGATCGCGTAATTTCAATTATACAATTCCTAAAATCAACTCATTGGTGTTGTGGATAGGGCTGTCAGCAAGACTTTCGTCCCTACCCCCCATTCCCAGGAACACTGCATCTCTATTGCATATGTCGATGCCCAAATTGTGACCAGGAGACTGTCCGCCAGAAGAGCAAGTACTTACTGTAATTTTCAGTTCTGCGAACAAAAATTCGGGTTTCTAGTACCGTAAGCTTAAGTTGATTAGTTCGACAAAAAATAGGACTAGCATCAGCACTCCACGAGAGGCCTGTTACGAGCGTTGCCACATGCTACTCACATAAGCTCCTTTGATAGATCCTTCTGTACTTCTCGCTCGCTTGGTTTCAAGAAGGAACACTCCCTTTCTATGCCCATTTTTGCATGCCATAAATTGTGAGATATCTGAACAAGTAAATGAGGCCGCAGGCGTTGCTGGGAAAGCTACCATGCAGTCTTCCTTTCCTTGAACGAATTGCATGTCTTGATCATATTATATGTTGCGCAGCATGGTGAAATGAATTGAGAAAAAAACTTTTGAAGTCACATTGCTCGCCTAGAGACGAAATCACATATCATTGTTTATATGTTCTGTTGGTTGATTGCGGCGCGCTGAGATGCTCCCGCATTTCCGCGTCTATTTCGCCTTTCCGGCGTGATGCTACAATAGCTTTGCCTGATCATTCCTGCTCTCAAAGGCTCTTCTAAAGGAAGCCGAAGCCGCATAAGTTTGGGCTCTGGTGGTCACCTGATGGCATCGTCCAGGTAGACGTTAGGGGGATCAACATGGCGGGGCTGGTAAACTTACAGCTGTAACGTCGAAATAGCTACGCCACGTTGTGCTACTTGCATCGCGCTCTCCGGTGGCCAATGAGTAGACCATGCTAATGCCCGAGGCAATAAGCTCACGCCCTTTTCTAATGAAAATACCCACTTGTTGTCTGCTTTAACGGACAGGGACAATGCGAGGCAAACAAACAAGCGTGCACGGTGCATCGCAATTGGTAGTCTTAAACTCAACCACGCAGGTTCCAACAGCTTGGTAACCATGCCACAAATCTGACCGTTCAATCTTTGATAGTATAGTGCAGGATTAGGCGTTCGTTGCTGCCCGCAATCAACTCGTCTCCGCGACGACTCTTTCCAAGGAGGTCGCAGATACACTACTCCGTACCGCGTACATAGACAGATCAATTACTGTAACTGGCCTGCCTGGCACCGCTGCTAGCTTCTTACGATTTCCATACAGCCGGCGGGATGGTTGCCGTAATAAGCTTTTTTCGGAAGCTTACACAAACTCTAATCGGTCCCGATTCCTTGCATGCCAGTTTCAACCTTCCTACGGCAACTTTCTCATGGGCAGCAAGGCAGACGTTGACACAGGCGCGAGACACTTCGGCCACAAACAAAAAGCGAAAATTAGTGTCGTCGCAAGGCCGATACACTAACAAGCAGCACTTCCAGGGGGTGGTTCATGATTCAAGGGTGCCTGCCAGGGGCACATCAAAAGCATGTTTCCCGACGAACCCAATCTGATGGGGAAACGAACTCAACCCTTAAGAATGTTCTCGTCCGTACCCTCCCCTCTCTGTCGCGTCCGTGGACGATCACTTCAACCTACGATACGGCAACCTTCCCTGGGGAGTTCGGGATCTCAACACTGTCAAACGTCCCCAAGTAGCTCATGATGAAGGACTCACAGGTTTCCCGCCTGCTCTTTGGCGTCGTGGCATTCGTCATCGCTGCGACGGCCGTCAATATTCCTCAACCTGTCGGACCAGCCCATCAGGAAATCCAGGGACCGATAGTATGGGCAGCTTGTCCCGGGGACATTCGACCTTTCAAAGGCAATAACGCCACATCGGCTCTCCAATGTACAAACTTCTCGGTTCCATTGAACTACAATGACCTTGGGGGTCCTCAAGTTCAGTTGGGAATAGTCAAACTTCCGGCACAGGGGAAGCGCATCGGGAATCTCTTTGTGAATCCCGGCGGGCCTGGAGGGGCAGCGTCGAGCATGGTCGCTCGAATGGCTTCGAAAGGGATTTATATCAGCGACGCGGTACGCCAGTCATTCGACATCATTGGAATGGACCCCAGAGGCGTTGGCTTGAGTACACCGCAGAAGTGTGATACGAATCTGGCTAATCAGCCAAGCGAGTTTGATGCGACTACGCCGGAGGGCTTCCAGAAGCTGTTCAATTACAACAAAGCTGTGGGTGAGTCTTGCCGGGCAATGACCGGTCCACTGTTCGACAACATGGACACGACGTTCGTCGCCAAGGACATGGAGGCTGTCCGTGTGGGTAAGATCTATGGCCTACTAACTTGTCCTGGCTGGAGGAGCTGACAATAGACAGCTACTGGCGGAGAACCCATGAACTATTTCGGAGTGTCATATGGAACACAGCTTGGGGCTCAGTATGCAGCACTGTTCCCCAAGGCAATTCGTGCCATGGCGCTTGATGGGATGTTGCAGCACACTGGATCTTTCGCATCGAACATCATGACACAAGCCACGTCCTTGGACGCCACCATCCAGGCATTCTTCCGGTTCTGCGAAGCTAACGCGACTAATTGCGGAGAGGGAGGACAGGACATCCGACAGACATGGAACAGGATCCTCGAAGTCGCGGGCGCGGGGAACCTCAAGGCGGCCGAGTGCGACGGGACCATCAAAACCGGCTGCTTGCCTGTTGCCACACCAAACAACGTGATAGGCTCTGCACGGTCGACTCTGGAGTTCCCTCAAGACCGGAGAGCATTTGCCGAAATGCTTAAGCTCGGGGCCACCGGGAATGGCTCCTTCTTCACTCCAGGCCTACTTTCCGGTGACATTTTTACCGACTCTCGCTCTTTATCCATTACAAACGTGCAGTGCCAGGACGGACATTTCTTCGCTGCCAAGGATCATGTCGAAGTACAGCGAGTGGCTGATATGACCCGGACTTTCACGACTACACCAGGCATGGGAGAGTTTTGGCATCGGGTGATTGACTGCACCGGGTACCCGGTCAAGATCACGAATCCTCGGACGGCGTTGAATATTAAGGACACGCCGCCCATCTTGCTCGTACATTCGAGATTTGATCCGGCGACGAGCCTGGTGTATGCGGCTGGTATGATGGAGGAGTTTCAAAACGCTACTTTACTTCTCAGAGAAGGATATGGGCATACAAGCTATCTGCTGAAGGGTGATGCCTCACGCGTTGTAGACGACTATTTGATCAATCTCAAGATGCCGGCGCCTGGTACGGTGGTTTCGAGTTAGCTAAGCTGAGTAAAGGGGTAACTAGAAAGTAAATCAAGTTCGACTTAAACAAACAACACCAGTTCCGTCGTGATTTCTTTCGTTGTCAACAAATTTGTTACGCAACTGTAAGAACCTTCTTCCAAGTTTCGATTCATGCGCGAGATTACCTCTACCCTTCATGGAGCATGAATTCTTCGTGCTACAAGAACTGTCCTCTCGGCTGACTACTTTATACTGTTGTAGAAGGGGATGTCATTACCTCAATATTCTCGTGTATCAAGGAGCGCGTGATATGTGGGGCCATGTCAATAACTCTCTTGGCTGGGGAGTAGACTACCGCATTCTGCATAAGATGAACTTTGAGCCAGGTATCACCTCAACTCACTATAGACCCTCATGGGTAACAGATTTCTCGAAGACTTGAGATCATCAAGATAGGCTCATTGTGAAAGGTTCTCGTCTCCAAAGCTCTAGCAGCCTTCGAGATATGCAAAGTGATATATCGAAGTCGAGGGGAAACAACTAGATCTTGATTGCTTCCTTGTGGATAAGATTCGGGTTGTCGCGCGTCGTTACAGTTGATTAGAGCTAAGTCATGAGGAGTTGAGCAAGTCACAAAATGACAAAAAGAGCACGACCTGGATTCGAACCAGGGACTCATGCAACCACCCTGCATCGCTCTGGCCTACGAGCGCTCGTACCTATGGATATCTTCGGAACACATGCAAGAGGAATAGACCATATACTTTCTGCGTGGTATGAGAAGACTCTGTGAGTCACCCATAAAGGACAGACTGATACCTTGGAAGACCGTCTTGACTATCAGGGTTCGCACATCGGCGTGGCACACCTAACTACCTATACGGAAGAGAATGATGTTTTATTACCAAGGCCTATGGAGTAGCGAAAAATCTCTCAACTATATTGCCCCGCTTGCATAGTTTTTGTCTTCGAGTCTCATGGGAAATGCCAGCATCGTTACACCTATGGTGGCCAGAGTCTTCTAGAATTTTGGTAGGTTCATCACGAGGGAAGCCAAGCATTTGTATCTCACAGCCATAGAAGTAAGTAAGAATAGGCTTGTCGAACGATGCAACACACCAAGAGATCCTAGCCTCTCATCCTTGCTGGTCCTGCGGACTCAAACGATTGATATTGTCAACATGTGGTTGCTGATGTATAGCGCACATCTGTTTGATACAATCAACAAGCTAATGGCAATAACTGCCAAATAAAGCAAGTAAATACGTTGTAATATTAATATCAACATAGTCGCAAGTACATAATATACAGAGTATCGTTCAAAGCAGATAGCAAATAGGAAAGGCCTCGCAGCTGATATCCTTCCACGGTCATATCGAATTCTTCGACGCCAGCACCGCCATATAAACAAGTCCCGCACCTGTCTCGTCCAACTTATACATCAAGCTTCACTGATAGGAGGAGCTTGAAGAATCCATTCCCCGATAATCTTGATGGTCTTTTGCGTCTTGATTTTGGCATCCTCAAGCAAAACCGGATCACGTACAATACCGTCCAGGTGCTGATCAAACCCATGGACTGTATCAGGAACCAGAAGCCACCGGTAGCGGCTTCCGTCAGCTCCAGACACCTCGAAGTGGTAAACTTCGTCGTCTAGCACAAGCTCGCCATCACCGACGACTTCAGGCTTTCCAACCTTTGCTGGTGGAGGCGGACGACCCGCAAGCCTGTGAATGAGCCTCTGGCCTTCCTGGGCAAGCATATCCAGCTCGCAGCCGATCATAAAGACTTGCTTGGGCAGAGCCTCCTTGGGCGCGAAAGTAGGACTGAGTAGCGGGTTGCGGCTGTCTTCGCCGGGAATCTTGTAAGCCCAGTCAAACACGGGTGCAATCCCTTGCAAGAAGTCCTTCTCCTTTGCACGGAAGCCTCCGAGCTCAGGCTTGTACTGTCGCGTCGGGGCCTTCTCTTCTCCCGTGATGGAGAGATCAGCCGCCGGGTACAACGGGACGATGCAAGTGAGATGCTTCCTGACTGTCTCGAGTTGCGCGACAGCCAGAGTCAGGTTGCCGCCCGCGGACCAGCCGGCCAGCGATACTCTGGTACGATCCAACGGAAGCGAGTCATCATTGAGCGCGGCGAGGAAGAGCTCCTCGCAATCATGAATCGGCTTGGGGAACGGGTTACCCGGAGCTTTGGCGTAGTTGAGACCAATGACAATTGAGTGGTGCTGCGAAGCATACGTCTGATTCCAATCGTCGTTGTCATTTGGCGTACCGAGCACGAATCCACCCCCATGGATCGTGAAGAGAACTGGCAGCTTGTCTTTGGACGTTTTGTCAAAGCATTTCGGGAAGAAGACCCTGGAACGTGTCAATCTCTACGCCAAAGGCGATGAGGTTTCTCAAAAATTGGGGCGAAATAAAGAAACGCACCTGACGGGTAAGTACGGCCTGCATTCGTACGTCTTCACGATCTCTGGACGGTTCTCAGGCGGGATGACATGTGCTTTGACATCGCGAACGAAGAGCGCGGGCTTCACCAAGAGATTTTGGATCGCAAAGGCCGTAGCGCCGTACCTGACCTTGGAGAGGAGCGGCAGCTCTGGGACGCGATGTGAGTCGTCCGTGGTATTCTGATCTTCGGCCATCGTTGAAGCCAGGCGCGCGGCGACGGGTTGAGTTGAGTTGAGTTGCTTTGGGTGCTCGAGTGTTGCAGCGGATGTTGCGTTGGAAGAAACAGGCGGGGTTGGGATGAGAAGCGTCGCTGGCTGGTGGGAACGGCTCGGTAGTTGTAGTCGCATGCACCTCGGTTTCGCGTTTAGAGGGCCATAGCGAGGTGCAAGCCGAGTACGAAACAAGATACGAAACCTTGTACAACGGTCAACATGATCGGATAATGGGTGCTTAGAGACGTCATGTCTCTAGTTGGTAATGGTTCATAAAATGTAAGCATGTCCCTCAAGTTTGAATTGAGGCGCAATTTGCAGTCAAATCTCATAACGCCTTCAATTGCTGACGGCATCACAAAGCGTCGGGGACATGTGAATAAGTGCCGGCCTTAGTAGCCGAACCCGCACCGCCGGCGGGTCTCCACTTTAGACCGGTAACTCGGGAAACTTCATGAGAGCGACAACAGCACAGTCCTCGACTTATCATGCATTGCCACAACGCACAAACCGTCCCGCATTCAATTTCCAACCAAGTGACACCTCGAACACCCAAAGTCATGATGGCGCAGCTGCGCTCATTCGAACAGCAACTGCATTTTGTGGCAAACCCCTGAAGATTGCAGAATGTCCATCGCCACGAAACAGCAAAAAAGAAAAGAAGAATGAGGCAAAAGGTGAGCTTAGGGGCACTACTATCATGAAGATGGAACAATCTGGAACTTACGGCACGTGATCAAACAGTGGGAATAACCTAGGTGCGGCTGATTGACATACGCACCTCACGCCTCCTTAGGTGAAGTCTAACTGAGTGACAACTTAGCCATCTCAGATCTCTGTGATACCTCGGTAGGTACGCTGGTAGATGGCCTACCAAATTAGTACACTTCTAGTGAGCTACTGTAATGCTTGTTTTCCTGAGATTCAGAGGTTGTGTTGTGAGTTTGGTCTTACAGACCATGGAAGACATGAAACGTGCTGCGTGCAATAGTTTCGGCATTTTAACACCTCAGCCGGAAATAAGAAAGTCCAATAGAAAATTAAGAAATATTTTCATGTTCCGATCTTGCAAGAGGAAATACGGTCTTGTTGGCTCTTTCCCTTTGACGAACGCAAATATTGAGTTGGTCGAACCTCAGGTGTCAAATTCCCAGGCTTCTACCGGGATTTCTCAGTGACCGACTCTTTCTGTTATTCTTCCGGTGCTTATCCCTTCAACAACAGCTCTTTCTTTCATTACATGCAGCTTTGCATCTGACTCATCTTGAGTTTTCTGTGTTCAGAGGCTGCCGAGGGCTGTCAACGAGGTCGGCAAATTCACGCCAGATCCCTGGAACACAGTGGTCCCTTTACCACACCGTCAGCAACATTCTGAGAGACCACCAGAATTTCTCTCACACTTTAGGGAACACAGTGGTCACCATGGTTCGACCTATGCTTGACATGAGAAAGTAAGTGATCTTATCAATTGCCGTAAAGGGTATGGCCATTGATTGTCTGCATACAGAATTCTCAATTCGCCGCAAATCGAATATCATGTCGGCGAAAGCGGCAAGTCATTCTCGGTTCCCAAAGCTGTGATGGAATTCCTCTCTCCAAAGCTTGTGCGTATGCCGCCTTCTGGACAAGGACAGCCCAATTCCGCTTCAATCACTCTGAGAGATATCGACGAGGCTACATTCACTCGACTGGTGGAGTACGCATATCGCCAAGACTACACGGTCCAAGGTCTCAAAGCCCGCTCCTTTGCCTCCGACGAAGTCAGCGTTTTGCCTTCACTCTATGATAAGCTCGAGCGGGGAGATGAGTATTCAGAGAGCAACCCCTTCATCCACGATTCTGGCATGGATTTCCTTCGCGAACTCAAGGGTAGCTACATAATGCTCGACAAATCGATCCACAAAGAAGCTCTCGAGGCAAAGAAACTCCCTGGCCGCTATGTTCGCTTTGACACCCTCAACGCCCACATCGCCCTTTTGAACGTGGCGCACACATACGATATCCATCCTTTGAAGGATCTCTGCAAAGCGCACTTCCGCGAGTGTCTGCTTTTCATGCCTCTCAATAGGTACACCGTGGCTGATCTGCTCACTGTCTGGGATTCTGTTGAGCACATCGCTGACTGCGCTCCCGGCAATGCGATTTGCAACATTATCCTGGATTACTTCGTCGCCACTCTCCCCACTTCGAGACATCATCCGAGATTTCGGGATACACTCGTGCAGGACGAAGCCTTCACCCGCCAACTGCTCGACAAGTTGCCGAATGTAGCTCCTCCAATTGACGACTAAGGGTCATGTGTGTTACAGACTGGAGTCTATGGGGAAAGCTTTGGGACAGCGGGAAATTGTCTTCATCGCGGAGAGGGCTCGACGGATTATTAAGGCTTTTGCTTCGGAGTTTGAGTCGTGGATGACGTCCATAGCGAAATCAAAAAGACAACGAGGTCACAAAATTATTGTCCGGAAGCGTGATGCCGGTTCGTTAACATTTTCCTTTCGGGCCCATCATTTCATTTTGCATCCCTTCGTAGCCTCGGTCCGTGATGTTCTTTGACAGATTGCCTAGTATACGATAATACCAGGAAAGAAGGCACCTCATACCACTCGAAGCCTATATCCGGCGCAAAGCAGCCGACACCGGTATCTCTGGCCGATATCTTCGCCATGTAAGGCAATGCCAAGGAGGTCACCGCAAATCATCAGTGATAAGAAATGGCACTAGCACATATCCATGTCAACGGGGTGGGGTTACTGCGGGGTTGCTCATGGTGATAGCTTCAATGTCCGGCGCGATGTGATCCATGGTTCCAAAATGTCGGGATGATACCGCGTGGCTCTCCACTTTTCCCCGACCACCCTTATCTTTTGAGGGAATTCGCCGACAATGGCACTTTCAAGACTTATGAACGGTGTCGCTATAAAAAGGTGCTGAGCATGTGGGAGTTGATCAGCTTTGCCATCTCATTCCTTGTTGGGCCGCTATCACCTGTCATACCACCAGATGCTCATCTCACAAGTACTATTGGCGCTGGGTGGAGTGAGTTTTGGCTCGGCGCATTTCATAGTTCCCAACGATGACCAGGATATGTCCGGTCTCACGGTCAACTCGATCCCAGCAGCGAAACGAGTCGAGTACATGCAAAAGGTTGAACCGTCTGGGCGCTAGGTTCTTGTCATATGCCGCCGTCCGTTTGCTAATGTTTTCCAGGCGAACGAGGCGCTCTTCCGGCAAAGCGGACCGTAAGTGTCTATTTTCCATGTCGGTTTCAAGTACAGTCCTAGATCTGACTTACATCCTCTCAGTTGCCCCTTTGCCGCATTTGGAACCATCATCGTCAACCACACCAGCGACGAAGTTGTCTGCGAGGGAGCAAATTTCCGAACTGGCGACCCTACTAGTACGTATTGAGAACTATGGTAATTGTAGCTACGACCTACTAAGAAAACTTCCAGTTCACGGAGAGATCTCAGCCATCAACGCATGCACAGCCAAGTTTGCTGAACAGGGCATGACGCCAACGTAAGGCCTGCAATTGACTGTTCATGAACAAGAGCTCACATTTTCGACAGGCAGATCTATGCCGCATGGGGAGAGCTATCAATCTACACGAACGCCGAGTCGTGTCCAATAGTATGTGCTTCAAGTTACCAGGAAGCTGGCATCATCGGTAACTAAAAGGTTCCAGTGCGCGAGTGCAATCCGGTGGGCGGGTTTCAAAGGCAAGTTGACCCCCCATGACTGTTATTCCCGCCGAAAACTAACACCGACTTGTCAGAATACGTTTATGGGACCACCATCCAACACAACTACAACGTCGGCTGGGGTGTCATGACTCTCAGCAGTGTAAGAGCCCCTGGAACAGAAACATATTAGGGGCATTCTTGCTAAACTGACTCATCCAGTACGACGTTTTCCAGCAATCTCGCCAGCTGCCTGGCTGTCAAACGTCCATGATCGGACAGATCCTCACAAACGAGACGGACCCTCTCTTCTCATGGCAGTACAACGCAAGCGCGCCTTGCCCGAACGATTGTTTTCGTGTCCCAAGCGCGACTCGAGGCGGAACGACCTGCTCCAACGTTACTATCTCCCGAAGGGACTATGAGGCGCTGTAGATAGGCAGCGGCTTAAGGACTACAAATAGAGACTCGGAACTTTCATTGGCGATCCGACCTCAGCCACGCTAACAATGATTTCGGTGTCATGGAATCACTTTAATATAGCTCATCAAGTGGGTGGAGAAAAGAAATGTCACTGCTGTTCCTATTCTTCGTTTGGAAAGTATTCTCTACTGAATATATGGAGAATGTTTCTTAGAGATAATGGAGATTACGGATATAATAAGGATGAGAACTAATTATATAGTAGGAATAATAAGTAGTAATAATAAGTAGGTAAGTGAGCATTACAAAACTTTATTGACTAGCAATTGCGAAATATACGTGTATTAGAAGGAAAACAGGCGGAATTTAGTAAGTAAATATCATTACGTGATAAGAGGGACTGAAGCTCTTGACCACGTTCAAATCAGGGAAGAACTTCCGGATACCTCCTTCCACTAATCCACCTATTAGCAGCTCTGCGAGTTCTTAAATCCAGAAAGACTCTTCAAAGTCGACTTGAAACTCCTCCACTTCACCTCCAGCAGTCATGGAACTACCAAAGGCGACTCCCAGTCGGGTTCCGTATTCTCTAGCACAACGATGTGGTCGTCTCCCTAGCCGTTCTACAGCGGCTTCGTTCAACAGAGGTATACCTGATCTTGAAGGGTACGTGACATTCAGTTTCGGTTCTGAACATACCACTGACCATTGGCCAGCGTACTCACCTCACGAGTGGTCACCTTTCGGATCGGTCCAGACCGAAAGCCATTCCAGATCCACGAGAAGCTCGTAGCTTCCCGATCAGTAATCTTCGACCGCATGCTGGCCAATAATATGCGCGAGTCCCTCGAGGGCATTGTCGATATTGAAGACGTTAAGCCAGAGGTATTTACGAGTTTCATCAACTTTGCCTTCTACGGAAACTACGACGTGCCGACGTCGCACAAATTCCGAAAGGCTAAAGACCCAGAGCCCGACAACGCCAAATTGATTCCAGGAGAGACCTACGACTCCCTTCTCGAGCACGTCCTAAAACATGACTTCAGACTATCCAAAAAGCAACCGTATCTACGATATCTGACGCTTTTCATCAACCAAGGAACCCCCGGAAAGCTGTACGGCATGCCGCCCGGGTTGCCGTGGAATAAGGACGAGGAACTCGAGGCAAATTTTGACCTCATGGTCGCGAATCGCCTTTTTGGGGAGATTTGCATGCATCACGTTCAACTCTACATATTCGCCGACAGATACGACATTGCGCAGCTGAGGCAGGTGTGCCTTCACCGTCTCCACAGCTCTCTGACGCGCGCGAGACTCAGCGACGCTGGGTACCAGCTTCTCTTCGGCGTCATCGAGTTCGCGTTCACCAACACAATGCCGGGAGACAAGATCCGAAAGCTGCTGGTTCAGACGTGTGTTGCCGACTTTAGCATGGTGCGCGCGATGCCCACCTTCACCGATCTGCTGCATCGCGTACCTGAGCTGGGGGTTGAAATCATGACTGAGCTCCCCACGTATTGGGAGGAAAGGAAGAAGGCGATCAATGATGTCAATGCAAAGTTTGCATCGGCACAATCGGACGCTACAACGAGCAAAGAAAAATCTTGAAGAGATAGGAACAAGCGCTTCATCGAGTTATACGACTCAACTTGCTTGGAAGAAGGGAAGCAATGGGCAATCGAGGAATGGCGCAATGGTCATTGCAAGTGCTGGGCAGGAGAGGATCTTGCTTTCTAGAAGTTCATCACAGGGAAGAAGGGAAGGCGTTCTTGGGCAGTCGCCTGTTTTTAGAAGCAAGCAAGTTACGAAGCGGCATTCGTTCGAGCAACGACTCGAATATTGAACGTGGATTCTAGATCAAAACAGCCAACTACTCTATTCAACACATCATGGTAGTTCTGAACCATTTACATAGGCAAAATGCATGTTTCTTTTCAGAAGCTCCTTTTATTTGACGGCTCTCCTGTATTCCAGCGTCAAAGGACTCTTCGTGAAAGAATTCTTATGAAATTCGTTCATCCCTTGACCAACTATTTTGATTAAGGAAAAGAATTAATCAAGTTCGTTGAAAGGGAGACTATCTGAGAAATAGGAAACTTCCAAGTCCTTATCCTTACGAAGGACCTCTCTGATCTCATGTTTCCATGGGACGTGTCCGGTGAATGACAACGGCAGTCCCCTCTGAACCGATCTTGCCGCTCTAACGAAGTGTCCGCCGAAATTGCATTGCTTCCCTCTTGATAAAACCCCTTGAATGATTTATGATGTAACCTGGCCCCAAACAGCTCTAGGCGCCTGGTGCCCTTGGCACTAGACCTTGAAGTTCCTCCCAGTAGCTATGGGGAATCTCAAGTAGCAATTCCACAGCGTAGTCCGCGAAGTCGCAGATCAGTTTTCGAACTCCATTTTTCATTGCGAAAATCATATCGCCAATGAGGATTCGTAGAAGTAGCTTGCGAAGTTTGTCCTGTGGTAATGTCTGTGGATGCAAAAAGCGAAGTACAGAGCACACATGATCAACAACCATGCCGTCTCCAACCGCGTTGCACAGCTTTCGGCCAACATCGTTGACGCATAGTTCCTTGAGGTCATCTAGGAGATACCTGTCGGCAAGAATGTAGAGTTCTGCTGGCTCCATGAGGTGGCTCAGTGCGATGTTGACTTTGGAATCCAGTCCCTCCTTTCGGAGGGCCTCCTTTCGGAGGGCCTCCTTCCGGAGGGATCGGCGTCTGCTTGTTGAAGTCATCTCGTTGACGCCATACTTGCAGAAGTGCTTCTTGCAAAATTCAAATACTGAGATGTGTTTCTCCCCTCTCACTGTTATCCAGGACTCTACCCAAGTTCGTAGTGAGGGAGGCTGTTCAACTTTTGCGCCGGCGTCTCCTTCTTCCTCTGAGCCACATTTGGCGTTGGATATGTTGTCAGGATAGGGTATAGGGTAGCGGCCACTGTAGGCATACTCCAAAAGGAGGACAAAGGTGGCAGGTTTGACGTCGTCCCAAACGATCTTGCCCTCGAGGGATTCTTGCATACCGCCAGTAAGCAAGGCTCGAAGAGGCTCTGACAGGTGGACCAAAGCTCCTTCGTGAACACGGAATTCGCGCTTCGAATCGCCATTGCCGATGACGAAAGTAACGACCCGGGAGTCGACGATTCTACAAAATGTTATTAAATATTCAATCTGA